ACCTCAAACTCCTGGGCTCAAGCGATCCTCCTGCCTCAGCCTCCCGAGTAGCTGGGACTACAGGCATGCACCACCATGCCCGGCTATATTTTTAGTTGTCCAGCTAATTTCTTTGTATTTTTTTTAGTAGAGATGGGGTCTCGCTCTTGCTCAGGCTGGTCTTGAACTCCTGAGCTCAAACGATCCTCCCGCCTCGGCCTCCTAGAGTGCTATGATTACAGGCGTGAGCCACTGCGCCCAGTGAAGCTGCCAGTACTCTTAAGAAAGCCTCAGCACTGGCATTGGGTCACTTGTGCCATACTCTATTGGGCAGAGCAGTCACAGGCCAGCCTAGGTTCAAGGGAAGAAGAAATAGATACAACATCCTAATGAATGGGAGGTGTGGTAAAGGTTTTGTGGCCATCTTTATTACACTACAGTGATTCTGTTCCAGTTATCTACTGCTACCTAACAACTCCCAAAACATAGAGGCTTAAAACAACAATTTACTATCATCTTATTATGGTTTGTGGACACAGCTCAGCATTTTTCAGTTGACATTTCTCATTTGTGTCACAGTTTTGGGGGGCCTGGGGTTAGAGTCATCTGAAGGCTCTGGTGGGTTGGATGCGCAAAGTGGCTTCCTCATCGCATCTCTGGAGCCTCAGCTGGGACAGCTGAAACAGCTTGGGGATGCTGGCCTTCTCCACATGACTGGCTTAAGCTTCCTCCTAGCATGCCAACTTCAGGGTAATTAGACTGCTTAAATGATATCTTGCTTCCCCTAGAGTACATGTTCCAAGAGATCCAGACAGAAGCTCCAAAATGTTTTAGAACTTAGTCTCAAAAGTTACCCCATCACTTCTACCACATTTTTTTTGTTAAAATCAAGTAACATGGCCTGCCAAGATTTAAGAGGAGAAGACTACACAAGGATGTTAATACCAGGAGGCATTGTGGGTCATTTTTGAGACCAGCTACCACACCCTAACAAATTTCTTTGAGATCTCTGGCACTGCACCTTCATGCTCCATGGGATGAATTGACACAGTGGAAGTATGTTTGTACATGAGACTAGTATCGACTTAACCATACAAAGAAGTGACTTCAGGCTATATCTATATTACACCAGACCCAAACTGAATATATCCCTAATTCGACTTACCCCCAACTAAATCCATATATGTTGACATCCTCTACAAAGCCACCTGACAGTAGAGGACATGTGTCAGAGAGAAGGAAGTTGAAATAGAGAGTCAGCAAGCAGCATTAAGTGTGTGCAATTAAAATATCTTACGTTTGCAAATTTTGCAGAAACATAGAAGTATGTGAACACACTGCTAAAATCTCCCTCAAGGTCTTGGGAAAGATGTATTTATATACTTCTGCTCCCTTCCCACCCTCCACCTTCAGACCCTAGGTTATTTCAGGATAGCTTTCTTCTGATTGCTGTATAGCCTCTGTAACTTGTCTCCTTACCTAAGATTTTAGTTTGTTTCAATCTGTTCTCTATCCTGCAACATGAATGATCATTCTAAAATATAAACTCAACCTGATTTTCATTCTAGCTTAAAATCCTCAATGGTTCTTTTTCTTTTATAAAAGTCCCTAACATGGTTTACAAGGCTTTTCAAAGCCTGGACTGTACCCGTCTTTCAACCTAATTCTTCCTACTGTCCTTCAAGCACTCTTTGATCTAATCACACTGAACTATTTTTAATTCTCTAATATTCTTTTCACTCTGGGCCTTCCTAACTCTCAGGTCTTAGGTACTATATTAGTCAGATATGGTAGACTATGCTATAATAGAAAGTTTATTCCTGGCACATACAAAATTGAGAGTCAGAACAGCTGTCCTCCATGCAGTAACCCAGCAATCCAAGCATATTCTATCTTATCACTCCAGGGGGAGAGAG